GTTCTCCTCCTCGAAAGGTACCAGGCCATAGCCATCGGATGTGCAGAGGAACGAGACGATGCGATGGAAAGAACGGTAGAGAACGGACAAACACTCGAATTACCTCGAGAAAGAAACATCTGCCGATGGCGCTCTCCCTTTTGGAGCCAACATGGCGGAATGATCGGCGCATCAACCGGTAGTTACGTTTACCCACGGATTTGCGGTTCTTTTTTTCGCCAACCTCGAGCTTTTCCCCTGCTTCGACTTTTCCTCCCGTTTTCAGCGCCTAGGCTCGCCCTTCCTTGTTTGTCGACTCACCGCGGCGGAAGCGTTTCCAGGCCGGCTGCTATATACATCCTTGATTCCTTCGGCCTTTTCCCAGACAGGTTCGCGTGCTTTCGAAAAAAGAATCCGTGTAAATGGAAATCTACTCGCATTCATCTTACAGACCCCCCACCCCAGTGGTTGCTACCTTTATTAAAAGAAACAATAACTTATATTTTGCTTAACGTATAAGTTAAACAATTAAGACTACATTGTTATCAAAAGTAGACGTCGAGTTTCTAACTTTTAGCAAATTACGTTTAAAACGTTACGCCACGGTATCGTCGAAGTTTAGAAGAACAAAAGAGTAGTAAAATACAAACGCGGAGGTCTGTTGCAAAAGGCAAGAATCGTGATGCAATCAATTGCGCGTACCAGACACTTCCATTTTCGGCCACGCGATGATTATCCAATCACGATCTGCCGGGCCAGCCGATTCTAATTCCAGCCGAGCCCCAGTGTCCGATGTTCGTGCAGCTTTCATTAAATCGCGACGTTCACGTTTCGATCCCGCTTTTATCCCGCCACGGAAAGCTCATCGATCATAAGCGGCGGCGCGCGATCGTCCGATCTCGAGACTTTACCTCTCTCTCTTTCTTTCTATCCCTCTCCGTCTCCTTCTCTCTCTCCGTCTATCTCTCTATCTCTATCTACGTCTCGATCTCGACTTTTGCCACGAGGACAAAAATCACGCTGGAGGCGGAAGGCAAGAAGGGAACGGGACGCAGAGAGAGTGAGAGAGAGAGAGAGAAGGATGGCAGGACGGTGCAATCAATTTACAAAACGCGAACCTCCCCGACCTTATCTAGATCCAATATCTCATGGTCCTAATCCGTGCCAAGATCGATCTCTCGCCGACTTCTCGGATCTTATCGACGCCGGCCGGAATCGACGCGCGGCCAACAGGGGATGATTTCTCGGTTTTCACTAATACCGAACGTATAACAAGAAAATTATCCACGCGAGAACCCTTCGATAATGGAGGGAACGGTCGAACAAGAACGAAAGGGAAGAAGGGGGCTGCCCCCCGAAAGGTTTCCCAAAGAGTGGGGACGGTTTGGTTTTCTGGTACGGTTCTTAACAATGTCGGATGGCCCGGGACCTGGTGGTGTCCTCCTCGAGTATAATGGTCGCGAAAAATCATCCATTATCCTTCGATGGACGAAGAGAGAGGGAGGAGAATCTGAAAGCCGACACAATGGTGTACGCCCATATATCACTCCGGAGATTATCCGAAAACTGCAGCTCAATGAGTTTCCTACTAAGAAGCATTCAAGGAAAGATGGAATTCTAGATTGCTTTTATACTGCCTCTTCAAGGTGCGAACCGTATCGGCGAGAGTCTGTGTTCGGAACTTGGCCAAGACGGAAGTGTATCGATAATAAATCTTCCGGACCTGTATACTGTACAGAACGAACTTCGAATTTCCTTTAAACGTACGTTTCACTACCTCGATTCCTTCTTAAGCTGTTTCATAAATGTTCGTTGATAATTATGAACAATGGATCAAAATAGCATAGACGATTGGAGTATGTATTTTCTGTATAATCAAGATCTTTTATTAAGTATATTAATTGTCTCGTTAGTCCGTTCTATTTACACTTTGATTAGCATCGATATTTTTCCGATACGATCGTTCGTACATTATCGTTCTCTATTTGGAAAATATCCGGATTCGGGAACAAGCGTATCACGAATCTCGAAATACGTTTATAGATATTGGAACGCACACGCACTGTGCCCATGTACTCCTCTCTCTCTCTCTCCTCTTCGAACCCAGCCGTAGCCAAAACGATTATAATAACTATTTTATCCGGCGCGGATCTGGGCCATTGTGCCTCCCCATTCTGAAAGTCATAACACGGTGCCTACACTGCCCTTCGGGAACTGCTCTTCGAGGCTCCCTTTTGGCTGCACTACACTATAAACCTGGTGCACCATGAATCTTGAATTTGTATACGCGTCTGTGTGCGTTCACGTTTCTCCTCGACTCGTAACTGCGCACTTTGGTGAACGCGTATATGCACGACCGTATTTTCCATCGGTGTACACGAATGGATGCTAGGCTATTCGTAAAAAAGTGACAAATTTTCGTCGTACAAAACCTGTAAATACGTCTAGAAAAATTCACGATCGTCTTCCTGATAGATTTTCACCCGTTAACGACAGACATTATCGATATCAGCCCCTTCCCACGCGAGATCTAAAACAATTCCGATGAAACGCGTCTACGTATATCGTTCGATGATAAAATTCTCATGAAATTCTTGGAGCAGATCGAAAGTTCTTTCCAGTTAAGTCTCCCTTAGAGAAGAATCCCGTGGAGTACACGAGGAAAGGAGAGCCGCAGGACGGTGCGTCGGTTGTGTATCGAGGGCTCTTTCTATATGCTCTGTACGCACACGCGTGCTTCTCCTCGCGCACGACCGTCGGGGGCAATATTTCACGGCATATTGTTGCCATCTGCACACGCAACCCCGCGCGCACGACAGAATGCACGACGTAGGAGAGACGCGAGCTTTTATTTATCTGCTATTTATTTGCCAACGTGCTCGCTACCGAAGCGGTCCCGGCGGGCTCACGACCCTGCCGGGGACAGATTTGAAAAGTTATTAATCGTCCCGTTTTTGGAAGGAGCGCGCCAGACCCGGAGACATTTCTCCTTTATGCCGAGTCGGGATAACCGGGCGTCGTTGGCACCTCGCTCGGAACCCTCGTTTCGATTGCTTCCAGAGGGTTCCTCGAGGAGGTGCGAATCGGTGGGTGGCGACCATTCACGCCGAATCCATGTTGTTTCCGGAATACTTGCCACTTGTAATTCCATCGTTCGATTAATCGTAGAAAATCTTTTCTTCGGAGGCAAATTACGACGCTCGTTGTACAGAGCTCGCGGAACCGCCGCGTAGGCGGTGAATAGAAATTTTTGCGAAACGGTTCGTTCGCGTTCGATTCGCGTATCTGTCGCGAATTGCAAACATTGAAACCTCTCCGGTGGTAGCGAGCAAGCGAAGTTGAAGCACAGTCATGTGAAACGTCAGATAAGGCTGCGACACCACGCGCGGACCGCTATCTTTCCAGGTTCATAAATATTTAAGACGCCTTCTTATGACGGTGCTGCCATAAGTACCCGCAGTCCACGTCCGAGCGATTTAAATATAATCTGCGTGGTGGTGATACGTCACGGGAACATGGCAATGTTATCGCGCTTTTCACACGTGAGATGAATAACGACGTTGCTCCGCGCCGGTGCGAAAAGTTACCGCGCTTCTTTGTCGTTATTTGCGCCGACGTAGACTTTTCACGCGATACGACCGATCGCATTAATAACTCGAACTAGCCTTTCCTTCGCGGGAAAAGGAAAAAAAATGGAGCACGCGGCCTGGTAACCGGTAACGACTAGAGAATGCAAACGAAAGGAGAGGCGAAACGAGCACGCATCGTTTTACTAATATTAGCCTAATGATGCTAATGTTGTCCACCTTGTAACGTTACCCATTTTTCTATGATTTCTCTGCGACAATGGTCGATAGTCTATCATCGAGTGTATTTCTAGCGGAAGACGTACACAGAAGAATGTCGAGGGATTTATTATCTCTCAGTTTGATCCTGTTTCATCTACGATTACACTTTACAATCACGTTGGCCGATCGTGTCCGCATCGCGAGCATCGAACGAAAGATTTTTAAGCACAGTTACGAATCGGATGGAAGCAAAATCCATCTCGACGGTAAAAAAGTTCCTCCGTACTCGCGGAACACACATATCCCATTCCAGCGGATCCCCGTTTTTACGTTCCGCTAACGCGAATTTCAAATTCAAGACGCGACTGCATCCCCCTTTTTCTTTCACCGTCAGGAACGACTCGGGCAGGGAGGGAGAAAGGACGAAGTTGGCCACCATTTTCCCCATAAAAAATCCGCCAAGTTTGCGCTTCCTGTTCGCGCGTCTCCGCACTTCTCGGAGAGAGCGCCAGGAGGAAGTCCCGGAAAAGGGAGTCTACGGCCAGGGAGACAGAAAGAGAGAGAGAGAAAGGGAGCGAAGGAGGGGGTGTGAGCCGACGGTAAAATATATTCCAGTCAACTTCCGGTGGAAATAAATAAGAGTCACGCCACACGGTCTCGTTGCGCCCCGACGACGGCGGCCATTCGTGTGCAGGGGACCTTATCTCTCGATATCTTTGCTCTCTTGCCCTAGGCGAAGAGGAACCACCGGGAGAGAGAAGCGTTTCCACCGGTGCTCATCAAGATATCCAGAAATCACGATGAAACGCTCCGCGATACGATGTAATCGCGTTCGAGCCGCTATTGTAGCTCGCGAGTCCCTGCGAGCTTTTTCCTCTCTAAGCCGGAGAAAATATTTTTCCTGTTGTTTCCGTGTCTCGGCCCTCTTTCCGGCCCGCCTTGGCTCTTCTCGCGCGATAATCGTAACCGCGCGTTCGCAGGCTGTTCCGGTAACGAGCCGCGGACCCTCCGCCTTCCCGGGACTAATTTCAACCGGAAAATAATCAACGCTTGCATCGATTAAATAACAGACACGATCAAACCATCGCTTAGGTTTCTTTCGAACGTTAAGAACGTGTTTAGGTAGGGTGAATCGTACACTCTGGCTCGCATTCAATTATCGTTCCTCGACGCGAGCGAGCCGACTGTATCGTCTCAATTACCAAGTCATTAATTCCCGTCTTCTTTTTTCAGGAGAGAAACCGTTCAAGTGCGAATACTCTGGCTGCGAGAGGCGGTTCGCGAACAGCAGCGATCGCAAGAAGCACAGTCACGTCCACACGTCGGACAAGCCTTACAATTGTCGAGTTTCCGGCTGCGACAAGTCCTACACCCATCCAAGCTCGTTGCGCAAGCATATGAAGGTACGTTTGCAATCTTAAAATCCTCAGCAGCTTCTCGACCGGCCGACTCTGGGCTCTGACCACTTAATGTCTAGCTTACATTGGTCGTATCAAACAATGACACGCTCATTAAAAGCAGTTGTTATCAGTGTTCGGTATAAAGGCGGACAGCGAGGGTCCAAGAAGACCCAGGGTTGATCGGTCGAATGCAGTGTTAAACGATCGCAGCGTGTCGTTGGTGTTTTCGTAACTCCGCGGACAATATCGAGGTGTATCGGGTCCGCGTGTTCGCCGTTTCGTTTCACGCTAGGCGAAACGCTAGTAGACACGAGGCGAGGTAAAAAAAGGCTTGTGGGAAGAGACGTTACCGGGTGGGTATCCCGGCGCATGGTTCATGCACGAACGGCCACGGAATCTTAATAGGAAATTATCCGTGGCACAGAGAGAAGACGGAAAGAGAGGCAGAACCGTCCAAAAGCCAACTCCCGAGATACGTGCGCGATAGGTTCGTCGGATAGGAACGAGCACCTTTCGCTTCTCCACGCTTTTCGCCGGCCGTGATTCGCGGAAGGCAGTCGTCGAGATTTGCTCACTGAATTATGAACGAAGGACCAGAGAGAGAGAGAGCAAGAGAGAAAGATGGGAAACGAAGCCTTGATCCCCGTCTCCCTGATCCCGGCTTCTTCGGTTCAGCCAACGCGCGCTCCTTTTGCTCGTGATTCCCTTGATCTCAGAAGCGATAACTTACGACGATCAAATACAACTAGCTGCGTTTTCTTTCGGTTACACGTCCCGACGTATGCCGTGGATCATCCCCGCGGTATAATTCCACGGCTCGTGGAAAAGTAAATTAAGACCAACGAGCCAGAATTTACGGACCTCAACATTCGAGGACATCGCGTCGGAAGATCGATGCTTTTCGAATCGTTCCATAAGCAATCGATGTGACCAACGTCTAGGATAGTTTTAAAAATCTCGGGAATTGCAAAGGTTGGATCGATCTGGTTCCTAGTTTGGAAATGCATAGGTCCTCCGAATCTATTAACAATTAGCTAAAATTCTGCTAGCAGCTTCCTATATTGGATCCTCGAAAGCCCACCTCCGAGAAGCCGAAGAATTTCTACCCCTCGAGAACGAAACTCGAGGGTTAGGAAATTTCCTGTTCGCGTCTAACGTTAGGCTCCGCCTCTTGTTCCAGGTGCACGGCATGACCCTGGGCGAGGGCAAGATAGGAGGGGGCTACGAGAGCGAGGGTGAAGAGAGCAGCAGCAGCGGGGGTAGCTTATCTATGACCGGGCATACGGAGTCTCCTCAGCCGCCTCCGGTTGTCCCGACAACGACCACGGCCAACCCACCGTCGAGTCATCTTTCGGCTCGAGGTCCAGAATTGACGGAATGGTACGTCTGTCAGCCGCCGACGGTCGGGCCTCAGCACAGTCCGTTGCCAGGGCCTCCGCCGCACCATCACCTTGGTCCGCATCACTTCAACCCACTGATGCATCACCAAGCAACTGCCTACTAGTTCCTGTCGGGAACCGACGATCAGCAGACCAGTTATTCCAACGAGATCCACGCTGCGTCGATCGATCTCTATAGATGTTCGCGTTGGGCCACGTAGGATGACGTTCGACTTTGAGCCGACGTTTCATCGAGAGAAGCCACATTTTCGACCATTCGGAAGCTTCGTACGCGACGCGAAACTGACCGAGGGAAAACCTGAATCGAGTCGAAATAAAACAGTGCCTCGTTTCGATAGTTTCGGTGCGGGGAGACAACGAGCCACACGGAGTCTTCGATCTCGAAACGACAATGATTCTCTTCGTCGAAATTAAGGAACTCATTCTGGGAAGTATGTACACGTTAGAGAATACACTCGCGACCAAAGGTAGAACGAAATTGACTATTCGTTAGTCTGTCATTAGTATTTATTTTTACTTTGCCCGAGTCGGAACCGTTCTGCTGTTTCTATCAGGCTGGGGGTATGGCATAGCCCTGGTTTCCGTCTAATTCGATAAAAGGAACGAGTTCGGGAATCGCTTCTTCATCGACGCGGCGAGCAATCACCGGACTCGGTAACCGCGAACGAAAATACGCGTATCGCGTTAGAAATATCCAAGTTCAGGACACGCCAAACCAAAAAAAAAGTTACCTCCGTTCGTAAGCGGCGAGGTGCAATTGCGAATACAATTAACCTAAATCACCGACCGCTGTTAGAACGCGAAAATATTGCCGCGAGAAGAGGTGGTGTCACGCGTCGTTGTTCAACGCGAAAAATAATCGTTTCGTAATCGTGGCGTTACGAATTAAACCGAAACAATTCGCGTAACTCTAGCCGCGCTCGTGCCTCTATTTATCAATCGCGCGGCTGAAGAACGGCTCGGCGAGTCCCAGTTTAATTGTTCCTCCGAAGCACGACTAAACGCGCCCATTTCTCGCGGGACTCGAATCCAATCGAAGCGTCGATAACGATCGAACGAATAATCGAAGGTGTTGACGAAAAACCGTTGTTGTATATATATATTATAGTTAAAAGTCCGTCGAGCGGAGAGAGTAATTCGCGAACGATCTCCAACGGATCTTGGAGTTGTAAAATATGTACTACGATTTTTCTAATGTGTGATATTCTGTAAATACAGCGACTTAGTGAGCGGTGCGCGATCATAACATTATCGTAATGATTATTATTTTCGTTGTGTATATGCTTAAGCTGGCGGAGAAGCGAGATCATTCGAGCATCGACCATACCTGTATCATACTATAATATTTGTTTTGCAGAGATCCAAAATATATTGACGATGCGGTATATTAGAAAATTATCCAGTGTTTCCTGTAGCGCGAACCACCTATTCCCGTTGTTTCACGAATTCGTCGACGAAAAGAATTAAAAAAATGCATTTTTCGTGCACGTATTTTCTTTTGATCAGGAGCATCGTAAATATGTGATTTTAACGTCGTATAATTGATTATTGAAAAGCTGCCCGAACGATGACAATGCTGCATGCGAAGAACCTCCTCGGACCCACATCGACCTTTTTCGTTACCGCGGAGGCGGTGGATACTTTATACTTGTATTGTAACGAAATTTATGAACGATCGAGATAATAAAATGCGACGAGGAATTTGCTTGCCCCGCAGTTTCGAACGTATATCGACCGACTAAGAATCTCCCTTGATTTCGGTCCTGAGATTACGTCGCGTCAATAAATAATAACTTTAACGCGAAGAAATTAACGATCGTTTTATCGTTGAATCGAATTTAACAGTCTGCGTTTCAGAATTAGTTACAAACTTTAATACGCTAGATATCTGTTACATGAAAATACAGGAAGTACGTTATTTGCTATATTTATTATTAAGCAGAAACAGGTTGGCGCCATGTAGGCGGTTTAGGGACCGGTAGAAAATTTGAAACGTTGGGATCGCAAAGAACGGAGGAATACCTAGGATCGTGCAGCGCAGGCTCCAAGATTCCTAGGTGAGATTATGAGAAAGAGTTTCCCCGCGGGATTATAAATATCGTACGGTGGGGACCTAGGTGGGCCCTTATTAAACTAGCCGCCGATGGTCGAGCCAGAGGACCGTCCAACCGAGGAGCGTATTGACCGAATGGAAAAAAATGGAGCAAGAAGTGTACGCGTACGCATAAACGAGGGAAGGTTCGGCTGACATGGCGCCACCATGTGTCTAGGCACCTACGCGAGAAGAGGAAAGGAAGGGACGCCGGATAAGATAGGATCGACATCGAGAAGAGAGAGGACGCCGGGCCATTTTATTGCTCGATAAGCAGATGAATTCGACAGATAATTTCTGGCCCGGATGCAGATGATTTTATTAACTAAACCGTAGGTACGAGTCACCGGAATTTTTCAGGCTCCGGACGATTGAGATGACACCGTGGGGCGGTGGTGATCGAGATGCGACGATAAAGGGACGCGTAGATCTATCTCCGGTGTCTTTGCATCGCCTCGCGTGATCGATGATTTTCTCCCGGTTTTTGTAACGAAATTCTCGGACGGTCGCCGCGCGCTCATCCCCTCGCGCTTCCGTCCACGGGCTCTATCGACTCTCGTTTCTCTTTGTTTACGGGCCCAACGACGACGCGGTTCGCCTCAAAAAGATTCGTTACAGTATCCAGCGCGAATCGAGACCGACCTAGCAACGTTCGCGAATGGTATACGCAACCGTGGCTCCATGTCCGAACTCGGAACCGTCCAATCAGTCAAGTCGACTCGGAGCGGTCCGCAATCAAACTCTCGTCGTTTTACAGAAATATTCGATGGACCAAAGCAGCTGGCGCGGGACCCTCGTCAGAGAACGCCGAATAAATATCGTTCCAGTGAGATAGCAGACACGAGAAATAGCGCGGAGAAGGGAAGGGAGGGGGTGGGAGGCAGGGAGATTCCATCGTCCGGTGGCCCGGCGCGAAAAAATAATTCCGTCGCCTAGGACGTCCTTTTGTCTTGACTTTCATTTTTTTTCTCTTTTTTATTTTCGCCCGCTCGTAAAGTCGAGGTTCGTATTAAAGGGCACGACACATAATTAATGCCGGATGGTCACGAAAGACCGAAAGGTGATGCGCGCGGTTCGTGGCTTTCTAAAGAAACACGTCCGTGGGCACAGACCGCACATGCGTTAAGTTACACGCTTGCACGCATGTCGCGTGCCAGCACCACCTACCCTTGGCCATAGTTCGCGCTCTACACGTGTTATGCTCGACGCGCGTCGACGCAAAACGCGCTGCTTTACTTATTGTTAGTACGAGGGTAATTACTTACGAACTGCTAAGCCCATAGTTTTCCCTGGACGCGTAACGAACTCGTACTTTCCGCCATTGGGAATTAGTGCCTTCACGGACTATTACGAAGGGATAGGTGGTATGTACCCGGCAAGAAAGGGGAGGAAAGAGTGAAAATGTATAGAAAGAGGCTCGAGTTGGCGAGTCGTTAGCCTCGTGGACACGATCGGCGACGCTACTTCCGCAGAAACGACGTAAAACGATGTAAGAGGATTAAACGGCACGGCCGATTGGCTTCCATTACCGGTCCTGTCCGAGCTGTAAATCCGCCATAAAGCTATTGATAAATCACGCGCAATATCGCGCGGTCGCGCGACTCGCCTTAACGATCCGGCTACGCTTCGGTTACGAAAACGCCAACAAAAGGACGGCTTTTTACCTCGTTTGAATGGAAACCGGCCGCTGGGCGCGGTCTTAACGGGAATCCAAGTTGCGTTTAAACGCTCTAGGAAATATTTACGAGGTTAAATGGCGGTCGAATTAATCGGGAAGTACGGAACGAACGACAACGACGACGACGAGTTTAATCGATTAACGAACGCCGCCACGCTGGCCCGCTTCGTTAATTTACTACTCGCGCCGTTGTGTGCATCGGGTCTTCAATTTTCTTTCTTTCTTTTAATGTTTTTAATATCGATCGATCGGCTATTACCGGTTTCACGGCGGCTGTTAATCCTTCGCGAGGCGATTGATAAATCACGACGAACATTGTAGGTTCGCGCGACTCGGTCGCGCTGGACAGGGAGTCCGGATTAAAAAGCGGAGGATTTTTCGGCCAAGCGGCGATAAATCGTTTGCGGGGACCGTTGTTGAAGAATCGTGTTCGGACCTCGCATAAATTACCCTATTGATGGTTTCATAAATAATACAATTGCGGGGATTCGAGCATCCGGCCGAGAGATTTATCGGTGTCAAAGGAACCGAGGATCGAGTACTCGCGCACCCGATGAATCGAGTGTGCACGGTGCCGACGAGGATCGACGGAAACGCGGAAGGTAACGCGATTGATTTTTGCGCACAGCAAGACTGTCGGTGAACGGAGAGGATCATTTACGAGGTCGATTTTGTCGGACGAAGGTTGTAGTGTCTCGACCCTGTTCCCGACGATCGAACTCTCGAAACAGTTCTCACCGTGCGGCGTGTTCGAGCGTGCCCCGTATAAATCTGCTACGAAGCATGAGTTGTACGAGCTACAACCGCACCGAGTCAATTTTTGCTCTTTTTCCCCCTGAGCTCGTTCGGAGTCTCGCCACCTATCCACCCCTTCGGTGTCGTTTATGAAAAATTCATTCGATGCGTCGTGTCTTAATTTCGAAGAACGAATCGACCAGCTGGTAAACCTGCATCCGTCTTGCATACCTACCATTGTCTCGTTCTTTATGGACAAATTTTCGAAAATGACACTTTGAAATTGCCCTCATGAAAATTAATCGAAGGTAACGCTTCGTCGAAACGGCCGGCCAGGTCGTGCAGACCTTCCATTGTTCCACGGCATGCGACCGCTCGAAGGTCTCGGAATCGAAACAACGGTAACCCTCTGCAATAAAATTCTTTATAATGCGGCCAATAGATATCGGCAGCTTACTTGTCACTACCTGCGATCCAAATTACCGTACGATTCTTTCGTTGGTTCGTAGACGCGCAATGGGAGTTTTAACACTCGTGGACGTGTTAATATTGGCTGCAGAAATTTAAGTGTGTTAACAAAAATATTACCCAAGTGACCGGATCATGAGTAAGTACATTTATAATTGCTAATTAAAGTGTTATCGTTCACCTACTACTCTAGCAATTTCGAAAATCCGATCGCTTGTTTAATACGTTGACGAACTCTAGTAATTGTAAAATTGTGATTAACGCTACCTTAATTGGGAGTGC